TAGATAGGTTTTTCCTTGGTAGTTTTTCAGGCAATATTACTGCAATTTACTAGACTACAACCTACTGCTATGTTGATCCTGTGGATTCCATGTGCTTGTCAGCAGGAGATTATATATACACTCAGAAGGGAGTTTACTGCTAATATCTATTCTGATTCCTCAAGTAATCTGGATCTGCAAATTAGCAGAGAATATTTCCTTAATAAACTGTAATCCATATTTATTCCTATAATTATCTTCAATCTGGAAAGGGTTAAAAGGGAAAACTGTTTGTCCTAGCTAGTCCATTAGTCTCACTTGTCAAATTCTAATAAATAGAAAGTTTTTATAGTTCTAAAACAGTATGTGTTTAAATTTGCTACATTGAATGTGCATAAGTAGAGGTGATATTTAAGTTAAATGTGGTTTAAGAATTATAAACATATTTAACAAGCATACATAATAACCTTTGAGCTTTAATCTACACAGCACTTCTGCACTAAAGACCAGTTTTGGACTTGATCCAGTCTCGATAGTATGTCACTCGAGTGTAGACACCAGGCTTGTTTGGAAGAGCACATTCATCTCCCCAGCTTACGATACCAGCAAGAAACCAGATGCCTTTAGAATTTGCACCAACCAGCGGTCCACCAGAGTCACCCTGGAGAGAAAAAAGAATATATACAATTACTATAATTTAAAGGTGAATGCTGCATGTTTTTTTCTTTTCTGTAGTAAAGACAGGAAATGACAGAAGAGCGGAAAAACCCTGGATATTTCAATACTAAAATGATTATAGTCTAAAATATTTTTGTGTTCTATGATCATTTACTTAAAGACACAAGTCTAGGTCTTTGGATTTAACAATACAAGAATGGAAAGCATGTATAAAAAATTTCAACTTGATTATTATCCAAAGGAGCTACTGAACATATTATTGCTTATGCAATCATCAGTGTGCTGAGGAACTCTCTGATGATCTTCCCAAACTCCCTGATTTCCAGGCAGATTGTGGGAAAAAGGGAGATTTGTATTTAAGCACCACCAACACTGGATGATTCCTTCTTCATTCTTATGTAAGCATTGCTTCAATTTCCAGAATTCTGTAACTTGGCTATAGCCCCTCTACACTTCCTACAGTTTTCATCTACTGGTCTTTAGACCATTTTCTAAGAATGATGGAATATCTTGGCATCTGGCATTTCCTTTGTCCTAATCCTTCCCGTCATCCTGGATAATTCCAACATCTATTGTATGATACATCTAAATACCTTAGCCCACTGTCTCTTGGCTTCCTTGACTCTGATCATTTAATTCAACCTTTACACGTCATTCTTTGTCATCACTAGGAACTGCCCCACCTCTGAAACACCATTATTCACTATTATAATTTCATGTACCTGTCCCTTAGGTTTTTTTGTTCCACTCATTTCACTTTTCACTCTGTATCTGCTCTTCAACCTCACTTTCTTCTCCATTAGCATGTTAGCTCATTTCCTCCCTCCTGTCTTTCTTTAAGCAGGCTGTATTCCGTCATCCACCCACCTCACTATTGTGTAACAGCACCCCTCAGCACCTTACCTTCCTCCCCACAGTAGCCCAGCCCAAATTATACACTGTGAAATAAAACCATGTTACAAATTTATATCCTCAAATAACACTTCTCAGCGTTATTTACATGTCTTTAGCCAACTACCTTTCTATATACCTTTCTATATACCTTTCAACTACCTTTCTATATTTCAGGGCAACCATTCCAAACTTTTTCCACTTCACAACGTTTAAAAATCCAGTTTCCTCATTCCAAACCTAGTATATTACTTTTAAATTCATAGAGTAAGTGAAGAGTAACAGGTGGCAATTCCTCCATTCCTGGTCTTGTCCTTTTTGACTTCTTAGCTCACCTACATCAGTCCACATCTGTATCTACTTTCCTTCTTCTTAGATGGATGTATTTCATCTTTT